GTGGCCAGTGTAAAATATAACTTATTTATCTGGTCCACACATGGTGAGGTCAAGGTTTGGGGACTGTGTGGGCTCCAGGAGGGAGGATGAGAAGAGCAGGCGTGTGTTCCTGGTTTCCAGATAAAAGATTAACAGGCAAGACTTGTTCTCATCCAGGCTGACTGGGGAAGGCTGGGTCTGGGAACAAGAGGGGTAGAATGGAGGGAGAGGGCTAGGGAGCAAAATGGGTCATTGGGCACACCAAACTGCCATGATGGGCAGGTCTGCCCTCTTCACTGTTCAGTGAGCCCATAGGGTTGTTTTTGGTCTCTTGTTTACATCAGATATATTCCCTTTGTTTTTCTGCTTCCTCTCAGTTAAGATTTATTTTCACATAGTAAAAAAGAAGTGTCATCAAGGGTGCTGAGGAAAAGTAGAGCTAAGGGTGTCCTGCTGAATGGGGCTGCAGGTGTGTGGCCCGGCTCCAGGCAGGGTGAGGCTGGGGTTAGGGGAGCTAGGAGGGGTGTTCTAGGGCATCTGGGTATCTGTGAAGGTTTTCCAGCAGGGGAGGGAGGAGGTGGGATTTGCTTCTTAGGCACTAAGTTGTGGGGGACTGTTGGGGGCCAGTGAGGGGTGTCTGGGGGGTCGAGGGATCCCTGGGCTGAGGAGGGGCAGTGAGGGTTATTGGGGGTTCAATGAGGGATGGGCTGAGGTCCACCAGCTGGGGGGTTGGGCAACAAGGGGACTGGGACTCCAGCCTGGGGAGGGTGGCAGTGAGAGGTGTTCTGAGGTCTCTAGGGAGCTGTAATAGACATGACTGAAGCCCCTATAGGCCCCAGAACCTCCTTGCTCATTCTGACTTGGATCATGAGTCCCATAGAAAGATCTAGTTGGGGTGATATCAGGGTACATCCAAGACTTTGGGCAGGTCTGTGGGCATGAATTTCTTATCTGGAAAATGAGCTCAGCCCTGGGGAGTTCTTGCTGGCCTTCTAGGCCCAGGTAGGGGATGCAGGAAATCCCATCAGGGTCAGATGGGTAGGAGCAGGTAGAAGTCTCCTGGATGCTGTGGCCTTAAGCCCCCTCCTGGGGAGCATTCCTGAGCTCTTGGCACTGCTCTAAAGTCTCTACAGGGTTGTTCCCCCTTCCTGTGACCCTCAGGGAGCAGGTCACCCCATTTTTCAGTTGGGGAAATTGAGTCTGAGTAAGGTGAGGGTCAGGTCCAGTATTTGTGGCCAGGAGGTGGTTGAACCAGTGTTAGACCCTGTGTGATGGAGGCTGGGGGCTAGGGGGTGGTCTGAGCAGACTTGCCGTAATGGGGTATAACTCTGTTCTCCCAGGTGGAAGAAGGCTAGAGTAGGTAACACTCACAACAGGGTGGCCTTGAGCAAGGACTTCTCTCTCCCTCCACCATTCCTTACAAGGGTCATTTCCTCAGACTTTCCATTTTCCTTTTTCTGGAAAGACCGGTTCGAACAACACATGGCTCACACTTCTACCAGAGCAGGGGCTCCCTGCCCTTGTTGGAAGCACAGAAAAGGGGAAAGGGGGTGGGACCACATTGGAAACACCTCCCCCCTACCTCCAGCACTTCTGAGAGACTCTCCATCCCCAGATCCCAAAGGGGCCTAGTCTTGAGGTGGCCTTCAAGAGGCAGGACAGGCTCAAGGCATCTTAGGGAGGGTTAGTTCCATCTTTTCAAATGAGTGACCTCCATGGGTGGTGAAACCACCTGCAGTGCCATCTCAGTGCAGCATAGGATGTGGCTATTGACAGCCAGTCCTGGCCTCACTGCGTTGTACACTCCAGGTACTCTTTCTGAGATGACAGTAATGTTTCCTCACTGGGCTGGGACTACACATCATCTTGGTGAGCCCTTATCCTGCCTTGCCCTGGCCAGGAGCAAGACAGCCACCACCTAGGACCTGGTGGGTAAGGACATACTAGCTAGTTAGTGGCTGGGCTTCCTCTAACATTTTTGTAATCACACACCCCCTTCCCCAGCTCAGTCCTACCTTTAACATGTCATTAGGCCTGCTTCACCACATCTCTTGCCATCTCTTTGTTCATCCCTCAAGACTTCTTAACTTTTTTGATGAAGTGCTAATTGTATCTTTAAAGGATGAACATGAATTCATCCCTTCTTCCTTATGTTCACAGGGCTCTAGTGTAGGTCCTGAGCAGACAGCCACAAGCACCACCAGAACTCTCACCCTTTCTGACCACTTCCCCCATGGGACCTCCCCTCCCTGAGGGCCACATAGGATTGGGAAGAAAGAAAGAAGGTGCCTACAGCAAAAAAACCTTCAACAAAACAAAAAGGCAACCCACTGAATGAGAAAATATATTTGTGAACGATACATTCAATAAGGGATTGATATCCAAAATATGTGATACAACTCAATAACAACAACAACAAAACAATCTGATTGAAAAATGGGCAGAGGAACTGAATAGACACTTCTCCAAAGAGGACACACAGATGGCCAATGGACAGATGAAAAGATGTTTAATATCACTAAGCATCAGAGAAATGCAAGTCAAGACACAATGGGATATCATTTCACACCAGTCAGAATGGCTATAGCAATAAATCAACAAACAAATATAAGTGAGGACGTGGAGAAAAAGAAACCCTCATGCATTGTTGGGATGGTAAATTTGTGCAGCCACTAATGGAAAACAGTATGGATATTCCTCAAAAAACTAAATATTGATAAATCATATGACCCAGTGATTCCATTCTGGGTGTTTATCCAAATGAAAACACTAGTTTGAAAAGATATATGCACCCTTATGTTCATTGCAGCATTATTTACAATAGCCAAGATATGGAAGCAAACCTAGGTGTCCATTGATAGATGAATGGATAAAGAAGAGGTGAAATGTATATACAATGGAGTATTTCATAGCAATAAAAAATGAAATCTTGCCATTTTCAACAACATGGATGGATCTAGAGGGTATTATGCTAAGTGCAGTAAGTCAGAGAAAGACAAATAGCATATGATTTCACTTACACATCAAATCTAAAAACAAAACAAAAACAGACTCATAGAAACAGACTTAAAGGGATGGTTACCAGAAGGGAGGGGGTGGGAGGATGGATGAAAAAGGGGAATATAGTCCATAATATTGTGGTAAGTTTGCACAGTGACAGACAATTACTGGAATTAGTGGGATGATCACATGTAAGGTATAAGAATGTCAAATTGCTATATTGTATATCTGAAACTAATAAGACTAATATAAGATTGTATAAAAAATGTACACTAAAAAAAAAAGATGCTTAGCTACAGAAAAATGCAGAAGTCACAGCTCTAAATTGAGAACTGGGAAGTGTTGTCTTCCTGGCAATCCTGGGGAAGGGGCCACGTGGCCAGCTTGTGGCTCCCCTGCTTTGTTTATCCCATTCCAAACCCATGTTCACCATCCTAGCCAGAAGGACAACGCATGTCCAAGTCCACAGATCTTGGAAAAGAAAGGAAGTTCTTCTTGGGGTAGTACTAATCATAGCTTTCATCTATTCGATCATCCATCCATATATTCATTCATTCTTGCATGCCTTCACTCACTCCAGCTTTTGCCCCTGTGGAGACATGGTGGTTAATTAACAGCCCAGACAATGGGCTCAGATTTGGCATCCCGCTGCACCTCGGAGTGCTGGGTGACCCTCCGGCCAGTGAGGGTGAGGTCAGTTTCCTGGAAATGTCCAGATGGGGGCACAGGAGTCATCCTCAGCCTGCCTGCCTGGGACACCCAGCTCAGCCACCACCCTCCACCCTACCCCTGCCTCTGTAGGGTGAAGTAGCCTCTCAGGCCCTCCCTGTCCTCCACCCCAGAGTTATGTACTCCTCCCTCAGACCCTCACCAATCTGGTGGGCTGTTTGTCTTTTTAATCCTGAACAAGCTAAGAGGCCAAAAACAGTATTTTAGGTTTCAAATTTACATTTCCTTATATATATTTTTCCTCAATTTTTCTAACAACTTTATGGAGGTGTAAATCACATGTCATATGATTCACCCATTTAAACTTTGCATTAAATGTGTGCAATGCTTCAATGGCTTTTAACATTTATTGATATGTGCAACCACCATCAATTTTAAGATATTGTCATCACTGCAGAAAGAAGATTCACACTCCTTAGCACAGTCACTCCCCATTCCCCCACCCCTCAGCAACTACTAATCTACTTTATGTCTCTGTGGATTTGCCTTTTCTGTACATTTTAGATAAATGGAATCATACAATATGTGGTCTTTTGTGACTGGCTTCATGCACTGAGCATAATGTTTTGAAGGTTCCTCCACGTTGTAGTGTGTGTCAGGGCTTCATGTTTTTATATTGCCAAATAATATTCCATTGTATGGTTGAGCCATATTTTATTTATCCATTTGTTGGTAGATGGACATTTGAGTTATTTCTACTTCTTGGCTGCTAATAGTGCAGCTGTAAACATTTGTATACAACTTTATGTGTGGACATGTGTTTTCACTTCTTTTGTTTGTATTTCTAGGAACAGCGCTGCTGCCTCCTGTGGTAGTGCTCCATGTTACTGTTGGAGAAATTGTCCAAGCAGCTGCCAGGTTTACATTCCACCCCCTGGAGCATGTGACAGCTTGGTCTCTGCACATTCTTAGAACACCTGCCTTTTTTGTGTACAGCCAACTCGGTGGAGGTGGAAGAGACCTCCCTGTGGATTTGGTTTGCATTTCTTTGAAGCTGATGATGTTGAGCATCTTTTTATGTGTATATTGGTGGCCATCAGTAAACCTTTAGAGAAATGTCTAGTTAGCAAATTTGGCTGTTTTAAAATTGGGTTATTTGTGCTTTTAGAATTCAGTTGTAATAATTTATACATTCTAGATACAAGTCCCTTAGAGATATATGATTTGCAAATATTTTCTCCCACTCTGTAAACCTTTTCACATTTTTTAAAAATATTCTTTTTGTTTTGCTTTTTAAATTTTATTTATTGATTTTTAGAGAGAGGGGGATTCTAAAAATCTCTCTCATGCATTCATTGGTGATTCTTGCATGTGCCCTGACTGCAACCTTGGTGTATCGGGAGGAAGCACTAACCAAGATACCTGGTTACAACCTCCTTTTCACTTTCTTGATTATGTCCTTTTAAGTACAAACATTTTCAACTTTAACAAGGCCCAGCTTATTTTTTGTTATTGTTATTTGGCATTTGATATCATATCTAAGAAACCATTGCCTAATCCAAGCCCTATGCTTTTTTCTAAAAGTTTTAAAGTTTTAGCTTTTACATTTAGGTCTTTGATTCACTTTCAGTTAATTTCTGTATATGACAAGAGAAGAGGTCCAACTTTATTCTTTTGATTGTGAGTATCATCCCAGCACGATTGTTGGAAACCTATTCCCTGCCCATTGAATTGTCTTGGCACTGTTGTCAAAGATTGAGTGACTAGAAGTAAAGTCTATTCCATTGGCCTATATGTCTGTGTCTATGCCAGGACCACTCTGTTTTGATTTTCATAGCTTTGTGGTAAGTTTTGAAATAGGGAAGTGTGAGTCCTCTAACTTTGTTCTTCTTTTTCAGGATGGTTTTGTTTTGGCTTTTCTAGGTCTTTGAATTTTAGGAGCAGTTGTCAGTTTTTGCAAAGGTGGCAGCTGGACTCTGCACATCAGCAAAACCAGACTATTGCCCTCTTAACAATGTTAAGTCTTCTGACTTATTAACATGTGGCATTTTCCCATTTATTTAGGTCTTCTTTAATTTCTATCAAGGATATTTTATACTTTTCAAAGTTTAAGTTTTGTACTTCTTAAGTTTATTTCTAAAAAATAAAAGTAATATATTTTTCTTGATGCTCTTGTAAATGGAATTGTTTCCTTAATTTTGATTTCAATTTGTTCCTTGCCACTGTATTGAAATACTATGGGCCCTGGCTGGCGTAGCTTAGTGGATTGAGTGTGGGCTGCGAACCAAAGTGTCGCAGGTTCGATTCCCAGCCAGGGTACATGCCTGGGTTGCAGGCCATAACTCCTAGCAACCGCACATTGATGTTTCTCTCTCTCTCTATCTCCCTCCCTTCTCTGTCTAAAAATAAATAAATAAATAAATAAATAAATCTAAAAAAAAAAAAAGAAATACCATGGGTTTTCATGAGTTAATCTTGTATCCTGCAACCTTGCTGGACTTATTTATTAGTTCCCATAGATTTTTTAAAAGATTTTATTTACTTATTTCTTTAGAGAGAGGGGAAGGGAAGGAGAAAGAGAGGGAGAGAAACATCAATGTGTGGTTGCCCCTCACGTGTCCCCAACTGGGGACCTGGCCAACAACCCAGGCATGTGCCCTGACTGGGAATTGAACCAGTGACCCTTTGGTTTGCAGGCCCATGCTCAATCCACTCAGTTACATCAGCCAGGGCAGTTCCCATAGATTTTTAGCAGATTCCTGGGGATTTTCTGGACAGAAGACCATGTTGTTTAATAGAGAAGTTTTGCTTCTTTCTTGATGATTTGGGTGCTGTTTATTTAATTTTCTTAACTAATTGTCCTGCATCCTGATTTTGGGGCTATCTCTGTTTTTCTAGCTTAACTCTTGTCTCTTGTAAATTTTGTCTTATTAATATGTAAGTGGTATTTATATGGGAAGGACACTCTGTTGCAAATTCCCACACATAGTAGTAGGCTGGAGTATCCCCCCCAAATCTACCCCTTGTTCTGCTGTTACTGTAGGAATTTTGAGTACTGCATCCATTATCAGCTGCTCTTTCTCTGTCTTGGGCATTGGACATGTCAGCCACTTCTCTGAGCTTGATTTTCTCATGTTAAAATGGAGATAATAATGACTTCTTCCCTGCTGTCTTCTGGATGGTTCTGAGTGCTGCACAAGGTCAGGAATGTGGGTACAGATTTGTATTGCTGCAGTAGCAATGATGCTGATGGCAAGCACCTGGGAATGAAGGCACACTGGGACGTGCAGCTTCCGTGGCACTGTGGCCCAGCACAGTTCCACCCCTACCACCTTCCCAGTGGCCATTCTTGGTGTGTCAGTTTCCATTCCTCAGTTTTCCCATTGCTAAGGTAGAGATGGCCACCTTCTTCATAGGACTGCAACCCAGCAAACACCTATTAAGCACTCAGAGTTGTTTATGCTTATCCAGAAGTGAGCCCTCTCCCCTACAACTGCACAAACCACAAGGGCCCCCCAGGCTCACACTCTACCCGATGAGGTCCCCCAGGTTCCTAGTAGGGCAGAGGTAGGGTGGACTAATGCATCTTGGCTGAGCACAGCCAACCCTGGCCTTCCTTGTTACCACCCACAGTGAGGGTCTTGGGAAGCCTCAGCCTCCCTGATGGCAGAATACATGACCAAAACTGAAGCTTGGCTCTGCTGCTACCTCTGCTGCCACCCTCACTATAAGTGGGGTAGGGCTGCATGGCAAGGGCTGGGGTGGCTTGGCCTCTCTGAGCCTTGGGGCTGGCTGCGGACCATTGTGTGAAGCACCAGTGTGGGGTATGTGAGTGTACATATGTGGCCCTCCAGAGTGATAATCACTGTTCTGGGCAGTCCTGGGTGTGCTCTGTCCTGATGGTTATGTCCTGATGGTTATGTGCTCTGTCCTGATGGTGAAGCAGGGTGCTCTGTATTCTATAATGGAGCCCTCCATGGCTGCTTCCAGGTGGATGTGGAATTTGTGGAACACTCCAGCCCAATACAAATGTCCTGTGTATACATATACTTGGAAAGCAGTTTTGCTGGAGGTCAGTTGTGGATTAAGAAAGAGTCCAGGTAAATTCTCAAATTTGGGGCCAAAGCAAGTAAAGGATGGAGGGTTGGTAACTAACATCAAAGATAAAATAGGGGAAGCCATGGGATAAGTCAGTTGGCAGCACAAGAGCTTGGCTGGGTCATGGTGGGCCAGGTGGACAGCAGGACATTCATGCCTGGCCTGCAGCGGGTGGTCTTGGCTGGAGCATCACAAGGAGGACAGGTAAAGTGTTGTTTCTGGTCAGCATGGAATAATTGGGCCTTCAGCCTGGAGGAGCTGGCCTCTGTCCCCCTGCCCTCCCCACACATTGTTCCAGCCTTAGCCGCTGTGCAGAGGATGTTGGGCACTGGGCCCCTGCAGGGCACTTCCAGGTCAGTGTGTCTGCTGGCACAGGTTGGACAACCAGCACATTGAATCTGTCTGTTCTCCAAGATGAACTGCTCTGCCTTCTTGCACTAGTAGTACACATCATGCTCAAAATAAGAACATTTCAGAAAAGCAGAAGGAAGAGCCTCTTGCACTTGGGCTGAGGAGGCATGAACATCCATAGCAGCTCATGCCACATACCCCAACAAGCAAACAGCTCATATGCCCAGCAGCAAGGGACAGAAGCAAACAGAGCATGTGCAGCATGGCACCTCCCACATTGTGCTGACCAGGGGAAACTAGGCAGAAAGGGTATGTGCTGTGCGTGTGCACATATCTATGTTTGTTTGTGTGTGTGTGTACACATGTCTGTGGGCTTGTGTGTTGAGAAGGTAGGACAGAGTTATCTTTCCTTATTTTGAATTTCTGCCCTATAACGTGAGCTGTATGACCTCAGGAAATGACTTAACCATCTGTGCCTCAGTTTGCTCACTTGTGAAGTGAGGAGAATGATGATTCTTTCCTGCAAGGTGCTGTGCAGATCAATGAGTTAATGTAGGTAAAGCAGATGCAACAGTGTCCAGCTCACAGTAAGTTCCACATAAGTGCCAGCTGTTGTCATTGTTATTATTTTATAAAACATGCTTGTGATTGCCACTTCATGCAGTAAGCACACTGCAAAATTTTAGGATGCCATTGCTGACATTCATCACCAGGATGTACCTCAATTTGCTACACCAAATCCCCACAGCTGGAAACGTTTCCACTTCTCACTCTTCAAAGGTGAACATCCTGGTATAGAAATCCTGGCAGCATATTAATAATTATTTCCTTTGGCTAAATCCTCAGATGCATATACAACATAAGGATCTTAATACATTTACCAAAGTCCATCCAGAAGGTGTCGATCTGCACCCATCAGTAAAGTTCCTAAGAAGTTGCTCCCAGGACCTTGCTAACTCTGCACTTGGCCTATTTTTTTTTCTTTTTGCCAAGTTGAAGAGTAAAAGATTTGCATTAATTTGAATTAGTGTTTCTTCAGTTATTGTGAGGGCAAGCTTTTTTTCCCCATGTGTGTTGGCCCTTTATCTCTTTTGTGAAATGCTTGCCCACACATTAGTCTGTTCTTTTTTTATCTGGATGTTCAGCTTTTACTGATGTATAAGATCTCTTTATAAACTAAGGGTATTGAACCTTTGTCCTGTATTATCCAACTGTCTTTTCCAAATGTTTTCATCTGAATTTGTTTGTTTTCAATTATTAAGTTTGTAACAAACTTAACAAAAGTTTGTAACAAAAAGTTTTATAACAAAAGTTTTGTAACAAAAGTTACTTATGTAACAAAAGTTTCTGCTTCTTACTTTTTATACAATCACATTTGTTGATCTTTCTCTCCCTCATTTTTACTTCTTAATTCTGTCATTGGAGCTATGCTTGAGTTAACAAATTCAAGGGGTTCACTGCTTGGGGTGCTCTATTCAGGCTGCTGTACTCAAGAACAATGTTACAGAACAAAAAAAAATGGGGGTTTGACTGCCTGTCACCACAAAAGCCAAACTCATGAGGTGAGTCCTGATTCAAAAGGAAAAAGGTTTTGTTTGGATGCTGTGCCATCTTGGAGAATGGGTGACTCCCTGTTTCAAATCTCATTTCCTCTGCAAAACCCAGACAAAACTCTGCCATCCTCAGCAAAACCAGAACAAAAGGCAGTGCTCAGTATTCTGGCTCCATTTTAAAGTACCATCCTTTGGAGCCTGAGGCAGCTGCTAAATGGTCATCCAGGTAGCTTAGCTTGTTCCCAGCTGCCATCTGGCTTCAGACTCCCTCCTGGAGCCTGTGTGTGGAGCTGGCATGACCATGACCATGTGGCTGTTAGGGCCACAAAATCACATACTTCTGGAAGGGAGAGCATGTTAACACACCAGTGAATGCTTCACCAGGTCTGAGAGAGAGAGACTCCTTCCTGGATACAATGGGCTACGTGACTGCTAACATCACGTGGCCCATGGAGAGGACAGGCCAGTGCACTGTCTAGCTGCAGGTCCAGAGCAGCAACTGATGAGCAACAGCAGAGCGGGTCCCAAGTAGTGAGTGATGAGCAAGAGCAGAGCTGGTTCAAGCAGTAGGCAAGGAGGAAGATAGAACATGTGTTTCTCTATTCCCCTGGGGCAATATCTGTTTCTGGTGTGGGACCAGCTATGTACTTTTTCAGAAAGACCAATTAACTTCCTAAACTTTCCTGTGCTTTGAGTGGGTCCACCTCCCAGCCAATCCCTTCTTTCCCTAGGCTAGACTGACAGGCCTCTTTAGTTCAGCACCACTCTCTGCTGCCCTTCTGACTTCTCTGGCTTGTGTGCCTGCCTTCTCCTGGTCCCACCCCCAATCTGATACCAGAAGAGCAAGGGCAAGGGCTTTTGTCCTTATCCATTCCTCTTCACCTTTCCTTGGGCTGGGGCCCTATCTATTCATCCTTTTAGCCCCTAATGCTGTAGTGCTGGGCCCCATCCATTCATCTTCCTAGGTTTTAGTGTGCTTAGTGTAAGAAACTCTCCCTGCCATTGGTGATGGAAAAATGGAGGCAACTGTACTTGAACAACAAATTTTAAAAAACTCCACAAAACTCCCCCTACTACCATCCCAGGAGACTCCCCCTGACTCTGCCACCTCCATGGCTTCCCTGCTCTTGGGGCCTCAGACTACGTGGTAGTGGCTGTGGAGGCTCAGCCAATTCCAGGAGAATGCTCTGCTGCAGCCCAGCCCAAGTACTGAGGTACAGGCTTGTCCACCTGTAACAAGACTTGGTTGTCTTGTTGCAAGGTAGTTTTTACTTGGAGCAAGTAAAGGGGACCAGATTCACTTTTAGAGCTCTGTCTCCCCAAAGGGCAGCCTAGCCATTACATACATACAGTACTTGGTTAGTTACATGTTGATTTTTTTTTCATTGCAATTGGCTACCCTTATCTGGTTGGATTCCTGTCAAGGTCATTCTGTTTACAGTTAGTCTGCAAAATATTGTACATTTTAACATTTATAGCTAGAATAGCAGTTACTAAGAAACTCCCAGACCTTGAGATCCTTGTCCTAACACTTGGGTAATCATTTGCTTTTATTTTTTTATTGCTTTTATTTAACACTTGGGTAATCATTTGCATTTATTATATTTGCTTTTATTGCCTCCTGATACATGATACTTTTTAATTTTTCTTTTTCCCTGTGTGCCAAGCTTTGCACATGCATTTTATTTTTTAATTTTTTCCTATACCTACAAAATCTACCTTTTGATTTGTAGGTTTGTGTTACATTTCTTCTTTTTTTAAGAACCTTCTGCTCAAAATTCTGTTTTTTTATATATATATCAGTTTGTCTCTTTAAAAAAAATTCACCCATCTCCCAACTCTCCTCCCTATTAGCCACCATCAGCTTCTTCTCTGTATCTATAGGTCTGTTTTTGTTTTTTGCTTATTAATTTGTATTATGTTTTAGATTCCACATGTAAGTGAAATCATATGGTATTTGTCTTTAACTAACTTATATCACTTAGCATAATCCCCTCTAGGTCTATCAGTGTTGTGGCAAGTGGAAAGATTTTACTGTTTTTATTGGTGAGTAATATTCTAGCATGTTTCTATTTTCAACACTGTGGTCCTCATAATATTGAGAGTTCACTTAAAGTAGGGAACTTGTTCCCAGGCCACTGGTTCTGTGGCTGCCACTCCTGGTCTGGATGGCTGGTTCAGCTCCAGAGCATCACAAAGCCATTGGGGCAGTGGTACCTGTCCCATGTAGGGGTTCCTGCCAAGCCCCTACCTTCCAGGGTGGGGTCCTCATGCTCTCTCATCTCTCTCTTCCTAGGTATGTGCACTCAAGTGCAGCCACCCAAAAGGGGTACCCTGCAGGTCCTTCATGGTGATGGCACTTCTGTGGGGACTGTAATCATATTCCACTGCCCCTCAGGACACCAGATGATCGGGTCCGGCCTCCTCACCTGTACCTGGAAGGGGAGCATCGCTGAGTGGTCTTCAGGGATCCCTCTGTGCAAGTGTGAGCCCTGATCCCTGGAGATATCCCCAGATCGGCTGTTGCCCTGGGTGGGAGGGGCCTGATGCTGTCACATGAACAGTGTGGTGTTCATAGAAAAGATGCAGTGGGTGCCAAGTCCCAGCTGGGCCTCTGTGTAAGGCCCTGCTCATGGTGCTGGTGGCCCTTGGTGGCTCCACATCCACAGTGTGGATGCAAGTCCTAGCAGGTGCTCCAAATCTTAGGTCTGTCACTGAATTGGCCTGTCACTTCCAAGAGGTTACTTGTGTTGTCTGAGCTGGCACTTACCTATTCTCTAAGCATCCACATGGCAAACCTTAATAGGATATTCCATATGCCAAGAATTCTAGAACTGGGGACACTGAGGGCCAGGATGCATCAGGCTCAGGAGCCCCAGTCTAGAGGAGGAGATGGTTTTTTATTTACTTGTTGTACACAGGGTTAAAGGATAATACCCAGCATGGCATTGTTCAAAGGGAGGACATGTGTGTTATGCAACAAAAAGGCTCAGTAATCAAAACAGTTTGGAAAAGGCCACATTAATAGGCTGCAGGACTTCTCAGGGCTTTTAAATGCTCATATGCTGGGTTCATCTCCGAGGGGATTTATTAGGATTAGATTCCTAGAGATACAAAACCCAACATAACAGGAGTTAGCCAGAATAACAGGGGCTACGGGAGCTTTCTCTTACCCATAGCCCTCAGATTAGGCAGTCCTAGGCTCATATGGTACCCCACAGTGGGGACCCAGTCCCTTTCCATGTTGTGGCTATGTTGGGTGTGATTTCAACTCTGTGATCCAGGTAACAGCAACTGTGTTCCAGGCAGTAGTTGTGGGTTTAGGGACATGGCAAAGAAGGGTCTTAGAAGTTGTCTCCCACCCCTTCTCATTGTAAACCACTGTCTAGAACATGGTCATGTGATTACATGAAGCTGCAAAGGAGGCTGGGAAATGTAGTCTTCAGTCTCAATGGCCAGTGTCCATCTAGTGCCAGGGGCTGAGGGTGTGAATGGTGCTGCAGGGGAGAGTAGCTGGCATTTCTTAAATTAGGATTCTGGGCCTTGTTTTCCCAGAATATCCTTTACAACATAATAGAACTAGTTCTTAGCCCATAGCCTAGGTCACATGGTGGATATGGGGCAAAGGCCTTTTCCCCCAAAGATGGGCATTTTTCTTGATTTTTACCTTCTTGAGGTGGGTCCCTGAAGGTCTTTGCTAGCTTGGGGCATTGTGAAAACAGATTGAGAACTCTCTTGTCATCTGGCCTTCGGAGCCCAGGCTGCAGTGTGTGTGAAAGTCAAAGGGGCCTCACTGAACTCTCTGTCAGATCTTTTCCCAGTGTGCCACTGTGAACTCTTACACACCCTCCAAAACCCTACTCAAACACTCCTTTATTGGGAGGCAGTCTTCCCTGATAGCCCCACTCCTATGGCAATGTGCACAGGCCTTACCCTTAGCAGTCAACACCTCCCTGCCTCCCCTACAGAATGGGGCTTACTGAGGGCAGGCTGGGCAACCACCGCAGGGCCTGGGTGAGCCATGCCTAAGAGCTGCTCTTGTCTTCCATAGCTGTGACAGCTCATGAGACCTTCGGCTTCAGGGTGGCCGTGATCGCCTCTATCATCAGCTGCGCCATCATCCTGCTCATGTCCATGGTCTTTCTCACCTGTTGCCTCCTGAAGTGTGTGAAGAGAACTAAGCAGCAGCACCTTGACAGGTACAGTGACCCTAGCATCCTTGTAAGAGGTGTGCCTATGACCTTGAGCCCTGACTACTCCCCAGAGCTAGGAGCTGGCCCAGCACTACCCAAGGGGTGCTAGCACCCAAGGCCATTCCAGGCCTCATAAGGGTGTCCACGGGACATGAGGAGTGGGGTCACTCTACCAAGAGCTGCCCTTACAGCCCACACTGGCTGCAGATGAGGTCAGTCAGGGTCTCCCGACTGCTGTTGAGGCTTGGCATTCTGGTCATTGAGTGTCACGGTCATGGAGGGCACATGGGCTGCAGGTACGGTGATTGTGTCATCCTGCAGTATAGTCTGCCTGCACACAGTGTGTGCTCTGCTGTGTTGGGTGTGCAGGGCTGGTGAGTTGCAGTTATCTATAGGCTGCAGGTGGAGACTGGTCCACAGCCATCTGCTTTTTCACTGTAAGTTCTGTTCTGGGGGAGTATTTTTTAAATAGTGGTAAAGTGTTTATAACATAAAAGTTACCATTTTAATTATGTTTAAGAGTAGAATTCAAGGACATTAGTTCCATACACAGTATTGTGCCACCATTGAGGCAGTCCATCTCTAGAACTTTCCACAGCCTGCCTTTGGAAGTAGAGTGTTCTGGCTCCTGATCATTGGTGACGGCTTCTACCCTCCAGTGGCAGAGCTGAGGAGTGGCAATAGGGCCACCAAATTCTCACAGTGTGGCTTGCAGAGACTCAGGGGTAGCAGCCTAGACACTTATATCCCTGAATATCCTCCTGTATCTTTCCACAGAACTGCCCAGCTGTGGCTCCAGCTGAGAGATGAAGATTTGGAGATGGTACAGGCCACCTACCTGGGCCTCAAGAGCTTGAATAACAACAACAGTGGCCACTTTGAGTCTAGGAGCTGGCATGGCCAAGGGCGTGACAACCACAGCTTTACCACGTGGGCATGGGCCTAAGGGTTGGGGCAGGGGATGAAGGGATCCCTGGCTTGGTCAAGACAGCGCCAAAGACCAGGACCCTGGGGGTACTGGCTGCCCTGACATGCTGAGCAGGCTCACCTGGGCTTCAAATCCTGGCCCAAAGATAGGCTGATGATCCTGCTATCACCCAGTCCTGACCTTGCACCTTAGCACACAGAGCCACCACCCACCCCACGTCTTTATCTTCAGAATTCAAACCTGAGGAAAAGGTGAAGCTTCTGAACATGAGTATTCTCTTCACCTAGACCCAGCAGGTCTCCACGGTGTGCGCACAGGCTCACTAAGTCCTCCCATCTCCCTTTCTCTGCCTTTTGACACAGAGGATTTTTTCTTACACACCCATTGCTGACTCAGGGAATCTAATCCTGGCTGAATGTGGATTGTGATATTGTACATCTTCCCATGCAGGCATCTGCTTTGAGTGTACACTGTCTCACTCAGGATTCCATGTGGCACTGACAGCAAGATCTCTAGACTCCATAAATGGGGACAGGCTTTTTGTCTTGGTGGCCAGTGGTCCCCTACAGAGGCCATGCTTCAGACTGTCTGGCATTGGTATTTGGCTCTATTTCTTTTGCAGGTGCTGTGGGTGGTGCTGGTGCAGGTCAGACTGGTCCCCACGGGCATGTGCGGTGGGGTGTTTGTGAAGGCAAGTCCATGTCAGGCGATGAAAAAGGGAGTCTGCAAGGGATCACTCTGCTGCCCCCAAACCATTGACTTGAGCCTCAGCATCCAGAGATGATCTTGCTGGTATCAGTTTTTCCCCTGGGGCTTACAAAATAGTGATTTTAATTCTGTTGTTATTCTGTCATTTTTTTTTCCTATAAGAAATGAGAATGAATTCTGTTTATTTCTGAACTTTTTATTTTGTTGTTTTTTGTATTACTATGAACTCATGGATATTTTTTCTAGAGCTTTATTTTGGGGAAATTTCACAAATGTACAAAAGCAGAGAATTATAGTGTAAGGAGTCTCCCATCCCCACCTGCCATCCTCAGCAGTTTCTGCCCCCACATCATCTGGACACAATTTCCTGTGGGCTGCAACCCACCCCCTACTCATGGCCCTTTTCATTCCTTTCTTTCACAAGACATCCCAGCCCATCTAGTGCTTTCTCTGCCCAGGCCTGCATGGCTGCCCCTCCATGGAGGTGGGTGGAGTGCAGCATTCAGAAACTGGGCCTGCCTCATGGAGGCAGGTGGCCTGTCCCCACAGGAAACTTCCCAGAGAGGCAGGTACTTATTTCAGCCTCGGTTTCCTCCTCTGTACAGTAAGCATCTTGGCAGTGCTCATCCCCGGTCCTGTTGAAGTGATTAGAGCAAGGTTAGGGCTTAGTGAGTGCCAGCTGTTGTTAATTCTGCTCTTATCCCTCCTGCACAGATGAGGAAACAGACAGAAGAGGTAGTGACCTGTTTGGGCTTGGTGTGGGTCCATCTGGTCCCATGTCTCTCTGTCTGTGACACTCTGGGCATGCCCTGTGGGTGGAACTGGTCCCAACTCCTTCTCTTGAATGTCAGACACTATGCCTGCCTCACGGTGGTGCTTCATGCCTGCTGCTTCATGTCCTTTCCATGTGATGTGACAGGCTGTCATGTTGCTCTGGTGGTCAGAGAACCCCAGAGTTTTGCTCCAGATACTCCAGTGTTTGTGAGACTCTCCCTGGCTATGCTCTGGTTTTGGTAAATGTTGGTGATTAGAGCTACTTTTCTTGACATTTTGGGGTGATCCTAGGAACAGACTGTTTAGACCAAATAGTCTCAATATTTTTATTACCAAATTCTTTCTTCAGAGACCCTGCACAAGTGAGTGGAGACATTTTCACAGCTGTGCATCACTGAGTGTTAATGTGCTATGTTTCTATTTGTTGACTTAGCAGGTGTCACCCTCACAGATAATTTTCATCAGCATTTCATTCCATTTCTATGATTAACAGTGAAGAAGAGCATTTTTCTCCAGCCCTTTGCTTACCAGTTGCATTCCTGGTTTTAGTCATTTTGTGTTTGCTGTGCCTAATAGCCTGCTGGTGTTTTTCTAATAAATTCTAGGAGCTCTGTATACTGTGTGGAAATGAACCTCATTCAAACATTGGCTGCAAGTACTTTACTTTTTGTTTTAGTCATGTTATGGTGGTCTTGCTCATGCCTTTCCTTTTCATAAAGTCAGATTTCCTTCCAGGTAGCCCCTTCTTCCCATGCAAGGTGACAGACCCTCCTCAGTATAGACCTATGTCAGATGGTCCTGTATTTCAGTTGGGAAGCATGTCAGTGGAATGAGGGAAAGAGTTACTGCCTCTCCCAGTAACTGGAGTCCTGGATGAGGCCACACAGCTGCTGCAGGGACTTTATTAGCTGCATTGAGGCATTGGATCTCCCAGCGGGACTGCAGGGGGCCTGTATCAGTACCACATACACCTGCTATTAAACCTGGGGGGCTGTTCTCTCTCCCTCTGATGGCCAGCACAGAGCTGTGCAGAAAACTCTGTGGCTAGCTTCTCTGAGGGCAACTTGGGGGCCACCAGAATAAGCTTTAGTTAGCAGCACAAGGCAGAAAGTAGGAGGTGAGGCTGAGGGAACATTGGGGTCAGAGCACCTCCGCTGAGCTCTCCTACACATCTCCCAGGCCCCAGCTCTGAGTCCAGCTCAATGGGGACCCAGGGAAGGTAGCTCCTGCCCAGGGCTTCACAGCTTGATGGAGGAGACAAGGTCCTCCAGGCCCCTGAGGCCTCTGGCTCCCAGGCAGGGACACTGATTGCAGCCCAGGGGCCTCTGGATGTGCCATACTAGGCAAAGTCCAGGTGCCTCTATTCTCCCACCAAATGGTGGTAAAACTGTCATTAGTAAGACAAGGTTTGCCCCTTGACCTTGCTTGTATTGTATAAATATTTCTCAGGACTCAAAACATGCCAGGTGCTGTTCTAAGCTCTTTCAGATATTCCCTGTTCTAACCTTAGTGGTAAGCACTTTAAAAAATATATATATTTTTTCCCTGGCTGGTGTGGCTTCGTGGATTGAGTGCCAGCCTGCAAACAAAAGGGTCACTGGCTCAGTTCCCAGTCGGGGCACATGCCTGGGTTGCAGGCCAGGTTTCCCAGTATGGGGTGCATGAGAGGCAACCACACATTGCCGTTTCTCTCCTTTTTCTCCCTCCTTTCCCCTCTGCCCAAAAATAAATAAAATCTTTTAAAAATATATATTTTATTGATTACCCTATTACAGTGTTCTCTCCCCACCCCCACACTTTATTCCCCTCTGCCTGCAACCCTCTCCCACCAGCATTCCCTCTCCTTCCCTCTCCTTAGTTCATGTCCATGGGTCATACATATAAGTTCTTCAGCTTCTCCATTTCCTGTACTATTCTTAACCTCCTCCTGTCTATTTTGTAACTACCAATTATGCTTCTTATTCCCTGTACCTTTTCCCCCATTATTCCCCCTCCCCACTGATAATCCTCCAGGTGATCTCTATTTCTGTGATTCTGTTCCTCTTCTAGTTTGCTAAGTTTTTTTTTTTTTTGGTTCAGTTGTTGATAGTTGTGAGCTTGTTGTCATATTACTGTTCATATTTTTTATCTTCTTTTTCTTAGATAAATCCCTTTAACATTTCATATAATAAGGACTTGGTGATGATGAACTCCTTTAACTTGACTTTATCTGGAAAGCACTTTATCTGCCCTTCCATTCTTAATGATAGCTTTGCTGGATAGAGTCATCTTGGCTGTAGGTCCTTGCCTTTCATGACTTAGAATACTTTCTTCCAGCCCCTTCTTGCCTGCAAGATTTCTTTTGAGAAATCAGCTGATAGTCTTATGAACACTCCTTTGTGGGTAACTGTCTCCTTTCCTCTTGCTGCTTTTAAGAATCTCCCTTCTCTTTCATCTTGGGTCATGTAATTATGATGTGCCTTGGTTTCTGCCTCCTTGAGTCCAACTTCTTTGGGACTCTGAGCTTCCTGGACTGCTTGGAAGTCTATTTGCTTTGCCAGGTTGGAGGAGTTCTTTATTATTTTTTCAACTAAGTTTTCCATTTCTTGCTCTTCCTCTTCTCCTTCTGGCACCTCTATGATTCAGATGTTGGAATGTTTAAAGTTGTCCCAGAGGTCCCTAAGCCTTTCCTCATTTTTTTGGATTCTGGTTTCTTCATTCTGCTCTGGTTGAATGTTTCTTTCTTCCTTCTGATACAAACCATTGATTCCAGTCCCAGTTTCCTTCCCTTCAATGTTGGTTCCCTGTACATTTTCCTTTATTTCACTTTTCATAGCCTTCACTTTCCCCTCTATTTTGTGGGCATATTCAACCATTTTTGTGAGCATCCTGCTTACCAGTGTTTTGAACTCCTTATCTGATAGGTTGGCTATCTCTTCATCACTTAATTGTATTTTTTTCTGGAACTTTGATCTCTTTTTTCATTTAAGCCATAAATATATATATATTTTGTTGTTGTCTTGGCATGCCTGTTACATAGTAAGGGGTAGAGCCTTAGGTATTCACCAGGGCAGGGCTACCCACATGTCACTGTGTTGTGGCACTGTATGTAGTGGAGGGGTCCGAGAGGGGAAAATGCCGCTTGCTCAGCTCTTGGTTGACTTTCAGTCACTTCCCCCACTACCCACAAGAAAATTGGGCTGTTTTGGTGCTGATTCCTGGGTGGTGGGGTTTGTGTACATTCTAGGATCCTCTGGGTCTCTCCAATGAACTCTGCTGTGAGGCTGGGAGTTTTTTTCTGCCTCCTCAACCCCCACAGTTTTTTTCAGTTAGAGGTTTTGAGGCTTTGTTTTCCACATTGGAACCCTGAGTTGTATGGTCTGTCTCACTCCCCAGTTGTTCTTCTTGGTTTATTTGCATGCAAATGTAGGACCTCCCACTCTGCCAGCTACTGCCTCCCTTGCCCTGGACCTCCAGCCAACACTTTATTGTGAGTCCTCTCCACCCTAGCTGCCATTTCTGCCCCTCCTGCCTGTCTGAATGATTGTTTCTTCTTTAACTCCTTGATTGTCAGACTTCCATACTGTTAGATTTTTCTGGCAGTTCTGGTTATTTTTTGTTTTTAAATGTGTTGTTGTTTTTCTTTTGGTTTTGTGAGGAGGCAAAGTGTATCTACCTATGCTTCCATCTTGGCCAGAAGTCCAGTAAGCACTTTTCTTATCCCATTTCTTCCTCATGATTCTGTGTCCAGAATCAGACACAGCTATTAAGTATGATGCTATGTTTGAATTCAGGCTGTCTGACTCCAAAGTCCACAGACTGCTCACTAAGCTGTTTCCTTGTCACTGATTGATTGATTGATTGATTCACTTAATAGTCAAACCAACAAATAACTTTGTAATTCCTACTACTTTCTATAGCTTTTCTGAGAATTAGGTGTGGATGGGAACAGAGATCAGGAAGGCTTCTTAGAGGAGGTAATACCTGAAATGAACAGACTGGGAGAGCCTGAATTTCAGGGAAGGAGAGAAACAGCATCTTAAGGGGAGGGAGCAGCCTTGCAGAGGGCTTGAGGTGGAGCAGCATGGCTCTTCTCAGGGAGCAGATGCCAATGTAGGGGGAAGGCAGGGTGAGCCAGGTGACAGAGTCAGGCCAAGGTCTGATCAGCCTAGAGAATGTCTTGGTTTCTGGTTTAGGGAGTAGGGGAGCCTCAGAGAAATGAAGATGTAGAAGGTGGGTGATCCAGCCCCCAGACCACCAGAAGATAGCCTGGCAGGAGCCAAAGTATCTCCTTGGATGGTCCTTCAGTGTCCTGGCCCAGGGAGGCAGCCTGACCTCTGTGGTTTTCACATACTCTGAATAAGCTGCCTTCCTTGACACAGCCCTGGGAACCACCCTACTCCCAACCCTTGGAGCACCTCTATGGAGACAAGGTCCCCAAGTCCTGGGCCTCTTGATGGTTCACTCTGGCTTAGAGCAAGGCACTGATGGAGGGGCTTCCTCAGGCTTGGGGGCCTGAGTGCCAGGCAGCAGAGCAGGGTTGGAGCTGAATGGGATCCTGGCTCTTCCCTCACCTCATACCTCTTCTCCCTGCAGAGACCTTGGTAAGAGTACCCGAGAGCTGGCTGGTGCAGCCTGCAGCATAGACAAGGACCACTGGACCCCCAGCAACCTTGCCTGCTCACCGTGGGCCCAGGTGATGGTGCACACACTGAACCCAGGGAAGACCCTGCCTGCCACAGGCCCACTGTTGAAATGCCCAAACAGGCCATGGCCTATGTCCCAGGATGACCAAGGCCCAAGCCAGAGATGCCCTCCACACTGAGAGGACCAAGCCCACCCTTCAGCAGGCCACCTATACCTCGACATGTGTCCAAGTCGAGACTAGTCAGTGAAGTAAGCTTCTGGGTTTAGGAATTCCTCAGGACACCTTCCTGATTCTGAAGGCTGAGAGTGACCTGTCCTGGGGAGCTCAGCTGTTGCAGCTTTTATAGGTAGGCTTCCTTGAAACCACCACTGAGGTTTACAGATCCAACTATAGCCCTGCTTCAGCCAGGGACCTTTAAAGAGACTGGGGACATTTTAAACATGTCTGGTTTTGCATCGCAAAAAAGGAAGAGGACAGCCAAATTCTCAACATTATCAGCAATCACAGAGATGAATCTTCTTTCACAGAGTCAGCCACCCATACAAAGGAACCCAGCTGAGTGCTCTATCCATTAACTGTAAAGTTGTGGTGAAGGCTGTGAAATAAAGAATTCTAACACTGAAAATTGCAAAGGTAAAAATCACTGGCTCAGTTTTCAGTCCCTGCATAACAAAACCTCAAGCATAGAAGTCTAAAACTATAGTCCCTTGTATTACCACTAGGACCTCTGGGCAACTAGGACTCAGGAGGGCCAGTCTGAAGGGAGCCTCTCATGGGGAAACCTCCCCATGGTGGCTGCAGTCAGCTGGTGGCTAGGTTTGGGTCATATGAAGGCTGGTGGGGTGGCTTACATATGGGGTTTGCTGCTGACTATCAGAGACTTCACAGGGTGGTGGCACCTTGTATGGCCTGGGCCTCCTTGAACAGGGTAGCTGGTTTTCACAGTGAGGGTCCCAAGTGTGAACCTTGTGATTCAGGCCCTAGGAAGTTGTACTGGGCCACTATAGATCAACGTGGGAGGCAGTTATACCCCACTTTTGGGTGGAGAGTACCAGGCACGGGCCGACACCTTTAGAGCCATCACAGTCCCCTAACCTGTCGCTGTCAAAGCAGTTAGATAAAAAGATGCCATGTTTTTTTGCCCCCCACCTCCACCCAGCCCTGTTTCCAAAGGGTAATAGTTGGTGGGAGCCCTCAGGTGGGGCTCAGTGTACACCTACCTGCTCTGAATGGCCCCAGCCTCCATATCTCTTTCACCAGCAGAGCCCACATGTCCCAAGCCAGTTAAAATCTGACCTTTGGCATTCTGCAATTTGCAGTGTGACCTGTCTAGACATTGCAGGTACTAGCTAAGGTTTGTCTTCCTATTTTCTTCCCTATTTCCTGCCTGGATGAGTACTGACTAGAGGTGACTTTCAGATTGGCCCCCAAGAGGCCACTGCCTGAAGGCCTTGCAGTCATTTGGGGGCTGCTATGAGAAGGGGAGTCTGCTGAAGAAGAGCAGGCAGTCCTGAAGGAGCCTGCACTGCCCACAAAGCCACATTCATTATGTTTTCCATCACTTATATACACGTTCTGACACAGGCTACACAGAGTAGTCTGTCTGTTCTGTGATACATTAGGAAGCCCCCAGCGAGGGTTGTTGGATGTTCCCACGTTTTCAGCTGTTACACTTGGTGCTGACATTCATTTTGGTGTGAGGTGTTGTTCTGCTGGGTAGGTTCCACAGTGGGATCCTGAGACCAAAGGGTGGCTATGGTGCTAACTTTGGTCTGTGGTGGTTTTTACTTGGGTTCCTGGGGAGACAGACCCAGCAGGGACTCCAGGTGGGCAAGCTCAGACTCTGCCCTAAACTAGTGCAAGCAGTGCTCCTGAGGTCTTGGCAGACTTGGCTCTCCCACCTTGTCCCAGAGTGGTAAGTTAGGCCCCTCAGCCATGTGCCTATGAGGGTCCTGTGGACAAGGCAGGGGTGGATAGCTGCTCTGCTTCTTGATTCTGTTGAGAGTGACATGGATAGGTATCATAACTGTCATAAATTGCTTAGCTCCTTATAGGGCTCAGCAACTCTGCCAAAGGTCAGCACTAATGAGAAAAGGCTCTGAGTTGGCTTCATCTTCAGTCCTAAGTGTGAGCGAGCCCTACCAGGCCCTGCATGCCCCAGCCCTTGTTAAGAGGAAGTGGTGAGAATCTGAGGGCAAGAGGACTGCTGTGAGTGTTTGGGGATGACTTCAAGGGGAGGCCAGTGTTTTGTGCCTAGGTCATTGACCCTGGGCTACTGAATCAGAGGACAGGAGGATTGGGGGTGAAGTGGCAAAAGGAGGTAGCCCTCTCCCACTCCAGCTCCCATAAGCTGAAATTACAAAGACAGGTATCCAGATAGTCACAAGGGGGCTGCCAGGGGTAGGGGGTCAGAAGGGAGGGAAAAGATGTGGTGCCCAGCTGCAGAGGGTACAGCCTAGATGTAGAACCATTGCCCAGGACAGCTGGGGGTCAAGAGACCTCAGCAGTGCAGCATGCTGGCCCCCTGGCTGTGCTGTGGCCTGGGGGTCTCAGGTAGACTCAGAGATGTCCCCACGAAGGAGCAGAGAGAGATCTGTGCCTTTCCACAGGCATTTCAGAGCAGAGTGGCTTCACTCAGGCATAGATGAGAAGGGGGAGGGGGAGCTAGCCCCAAATTCCCCCTAAAACCAATTCTAGCTTGTACTGAGGAGAGGGACCCCTTTTCTTGCTGTTTCTTGAAACCCCTACCTCACTGAGAGGATTTAGCACCTACTGTTCCCCTGCCTGCAACACTGCCCTTGCAGTCCACATGGCTCACTAGTACACTTTCCTTCTCAGCTTGAGAAACATGAACTTCTTTTGCTGTTATAACATTCAGGATCAGTTAGGTCATGATGCTGAAACAGATAACCCTTGAGCTGCCATAACAAATGTCACAAACATTTCTATCTCATAGTATCAAGGCAAGAAACTCAATGTCAAGGGGCTGATCCATTTGGTTTCTGGTGAGGGCTCTCTTACTGGCTTGCAGATGGTCTCCTTCTCTCTATGGCCTCACATGGCCTTTCCTTGGTTCATGTACAGAGAGAAGAAGAGGAAGAGACAAGAGTGAGCTCTGATGTCTCTTCTTATGTGGACATGAACCTTATGGGGTCAGAGCCCTACCCTTAAGACCTCATACCCTAATTACTTCCTTAGAAGCCCATTTCCTAAGCCCATTCTTAGAATACAGCCACAAGGGAGGTTAGGGCTTTGATTATATGGATTTTGGGGTTACACATTCAATCCATGACAAACTCTTCCCTCCACCAGTCTCAAAGGTTCAAACAACTTCATTTATTTCTTTCTTGTCCAGTGTGATAGGCAGGGCTCTGCTCAGTGGAGGCTGATGGTCCAGTCCATTCCAACACAGGGCTCTGTTACTAGACTAAAAGGGTCTGTTTGTGCACATTAAAACCCAATAAGACATGAACAGGAATTTGTAGCAAGGAAAACAAGGGTTTATTTTTAGGAAGTGGCCCACAGCCAGAGGCAGGTTAACTAATGCTTGAAGACCTTGCTCCCCTTGATGGCTTCCAGGGGATGGGTTATATAGGGAGGAAACCCTTGATCATGGTGACTAAGGGAGCTAAGGTGGTGGTCAAGGTTGTGGTCTCCATTGATTGGTTGGTGCTCCGGTAGAGGGTAGTTGATCAGTGCACCTGGTCCTGATGTCAGCCATGCATCACTTCATCTGGTTTCAGTGCTTTTCTGGGTCTGGAGCTGAAACACAACAGAGGCCTATATGTTTGACCAAATTTGGTCTCTGGAGTCAAAAGACCCAAGGCTTTGTTCCTAAGATTATGTGATGCTGGTCAGAACTACATGGTCCTGAGGGTTTAATGATTAAGGGAGTGCACGCGGGAGGGAGGAAGCAGGTGAGTTAGGGTGCTGGATGAGGCAGTTTGGATCTAAGGGAAAGAAAGAAGAAAAGGTCATACTAAAATACAGTTTCTATGCGGTTACACCTCCAAGATCTCTGGGAGGGGAAGGCCTGCCCAGGGGCTTACAATAGCAACAGTATGATCTGATCTGGAGGGGACACACCTCACTTGTGTGTGCAATGCACTCCTGGTATTGACCTAATGGACAGGATGGTAACTCTCCTGGATGTGGGGAGGAAGAGGAAACAGTCAGTCGAGAGCAATACTGTTACATCCATGTCATCCTCTGAGGCCTGCATAGCTTTTTCATATACGGTGCTAGTGAGACCCACGATTTTAAGTAGATGTGACCGTTAGGTTATCAGAGAAAGCATCAGTCAGCCTTCAGTACTGAAGCAGTGTCATTCTTGTCCCCAAATGAGGCTGAGCAGAATAAGGCTAAGATGTCACAAAGAAGACCTCATTATCAGGCAGAACATCCCCAGTTGGGGTACAGTGGTTGGAAAAGACTGTGCCTCATGAGTTAATTCCTCACAGTTACCTAAGTGTCCCATTCATCCACTGCAAGATAGTGAGTCACCCTGACTCAGTGGCTTAAAACCACAGTTGCTATGTTGTCATTATCTCTCCTGTTTCTGTCAGTTCTTGCTGACACTTCACCCTTATGAGTAGAGTTGGCAGAAGCTGGGAATGGAATCTTCCATAGGCATCTCCAAGTCTGGCAGTAGACACTAGCTGTCTGAGACCTCAGCTGGGGTGCTCAGCAGGAACATTACAGGTGGCTTGAGCATCCTTCCTGCATGGTGGCTGGCCTTCAAGGGTAAATGTCCCAATAAATAGGAAGTGGGGGCTGTTGGCTTTCTAAGGCCTAAGCACAGACTAGTACCCTACTGTGGATGGGTACACAGAGATGTGGATGCACTCAGACTTCTGAAGCCAGCTTGCTAGAGAAGAACTACCTCCTTCTCCTCCCTCAGGCCAAAAATCCTGACTCTGTTTTCTCTCAGACCCCACATTTAATCTTCCAGCAAGTCCTTTTGGCTCAACCTCAAAATTCATCTGGAACCCACCCAGTCCACCCTCCTCCACAACCACCACTCTGATTCCAGCCTCTGTCTCCTCTCACCTGGACCATAGTAGTTAGCCTCCTCCTGGTCTCCCCTTGGTATTGCTGTCTCCATTCAAGCTCCACCTCTCCCCCAATTCCTATACAGCAATCAAAGCCTTACTTTTTTTTTTATTGTGGTAAAATATATATAACACAAAACTTACCATCTTAACCATTTTTAAGTGTAAAGTTCAGTGGCATTAAGTACATTCTCACTGTTGTACCACTATCCCCACCATCAACATTTGGAACTTGTTCATCCTCCTAAACAGAAACTCTGCCTATTAAGCACTACCTCCCCATTCCCCCTCTCCCAGCTCCTGCAACCACCATTCTACTCTCTGTTTCTATGAATCGACTACTCTAGGAACCTCATATGTGTGGAATCATACAGCATTTGTCTTATTCTGACTGGATTATATTACTGGGTATAATGTCTTTAGGTTCATCCTTAAGATATGTGGCAGTTTTCTTCCTTTTTCAAGGCCAAATAATATTTCATTGCATGGCTATACCACAGTTTATCCGTTCATTGCTGATGGACACTTGGGTTGTTCTCACCTCTTGGCTACTGTGAATAGTGCTGCTATGACC